AAATGGGAAAATAATCAAATACCTGCACGGTCAGCCATAAGTTCCCTCAAACGTGATCTGATTTTACGGCGTTCTTCGTAAGTTTTAGCTTGTTCCAACTGAAAGAAAGATAGAGAGCGTGAAAATTTTATTTTAATATAGCAATCAATCAGTCACTCAAAATTATAGCTAATAACTGTAAATCATTCATTAATTAAGAAAACTTCCATTATGTGGGGCAATTAATGAAAATTAAATTATTGATTACTCATTTAGTGGGGAGTGGGGGTTTAATTTGTTTTCAACAAAGGTGTTAATGTGTTCATGCTGTTAGTTATTTGTTATGCTTACCAATTGTTTTAGAATTTCTTCGTCCCAGATCTCCTCGATATCACAAGTTGTCTCTATAACTGGTGAAGAAGAGCTTCCCGATTTAATGGATTTCGTTACACGTGTAGTTTTTACCTGTAATAACAAGAAGAATTCCAATTTAAATTTTAATTCACTTTATTTATTTTTAGACATTTTATATATAATACAGTTGGGAGAAAAAACAGTGGTTGCCAGTGTTATAATTTTAGGAAAGTGTGAAATACATGTCGAGGATTATATTTTTCCCAGTATGAAATCTTATTTTAGTGAAAATGAATTGAGATGTTAAATAAATATTTCAACAGCATTTGAGAAACATAATGGGGATACAAATCAGAGACTGTAAATGCGCTCGAATCTAATTTAGCGATTTAAATATTTAAAAGCTAAATATTTATGTTGTTTCAAAATATTTAATTTTTTATTTAGATTTAATTCGAATCTACACTACTTTCAACAACTCTTGAAGATATAGCCGATTTATTGTGCTAGCATCAAGTGACGACTTTAAACGCATTTTTCTCCAAACAGCGTTATTGCGAATGGCGGGCACGATAACTCAAAAACTAATAATCCGATCGATTCCCAATAAATCCAATCGGTCAAGATCCTTATTTTTATTTTTTAACTTGGTTTGTGGTAAAAAATAGGCGATTTCCCAATAATATTTTTCCAAAGGTCCCCCATTTTGTTGATTTTTGAGCGAAGTCAATAATCGTAGTTCATACGAGAGCCTGACATGTACCCTCTCTAACACCGTTGGAATTTTTGGATTCCGATGTTCCAGCGAGGAGTTATCATGCCCGCCATCAAAAATAAGGACTTTTTATTAATCCCATAAAACAATAACAAAAATTTGTGTAAATTATTTTTCTTTTCCTTTAAATCTTCAAATATACATCTGCAAAATTACAAACCTTAACAAGCTTTCGTAATGATTTGCCAGTCCATTGAATATCTTGAAAATTTAAAGTCGAGGGGAGGGGGAGGTGGTCCCTTAATATTTAACATAAATCCTTAAAAATAGTATCGATTCGTTCTAAATATTTTTAAAATCAACGTACATTTGTAGGATATGTCCGGATTTAATAGAACGCCCTTTATTCATTGAAATATTTGCCATTTCACATTCTCTTTGAGTAGAAAATCTCCCTACCAAAAAACAATATTGACTTTAAGTTTTTGGTTAGGATCCTTCTTATTCGGTATTTTGTGGACTTTTGTGGATATTTTTAGCCATATAAGGCACTAATTTGATTTAAAATTTTAGGCTTTTATTGGGTGTCAAATCGTCCATCCAAAATGGCAATTTCCAAAAAAAAAAAAATTATTTTTAAAAGTATTCCAAAATTTCAGTGTACTTTGTCAGATGTTGAATTATGTTTGAAAAAATCAAAATATGTAGTTCCTTCACTTAAACTATTTTGATATATCTAAAAAAATCAATGTGATATATTTAATGACCATAAAAGGCCATCAACAACATCAATTGTCCATTCAGTATAGGAAATTCTTGAGAATTCCGCAAATGTTCACTGCAGAAAATGACAGATAAGCTAAACACAACTAAGCAGCGAGAGGATTATACTAATGATGATGAATGATCGAACGAACGAACAAAATTTTCATTAAAATCGCATTTGTTGTTATTGTTTTGTCTTGTTTATATTGCGACGTATTATGGATTGAAAATATTTGCACAAGTGTGTAGGAAAATTATTGCGACGTTGTTTGTCAGTATGTGTACTCTGGTGGATTTACAGCCCACGTACACAATGTTGAAATAAAAAAAAAAAATAGGTGACATAAAAACGTAATGAATGGCAACTGCGTTTTTATACCAATATTTTAATGGAAATAAATTGTCCATTACAAAAAAAAAAACAATGTCATTAAAATGCCCCATCACCAAAAATTAAGGAACCGGAAAGAAATCAAACGAAACGAAAATACATTAGCCTATGGGCCAACAATTAATCACTCACTCGCGCTGCCTCATGTTGGGAATAAATAAAAAACAAAACAAAAATCGAAAGAAAAGAAAATGCAATGACGGTAAACCAAAAAATGGAAACAAAAGAAAACGAAAACAAAACTAATTTGACGCATTGAAATCCGTTTAATTTTAAATTTACACCTCTTGGTTGGCCACGATCATCAACGGTGGCACTAGACCGCCAACGACAACATGCCACAATTTGTAAAACGCTATGTGGTCAATAAGCCAGCCAGTCGTCGTCGTCTTCATCGTCTTCTCTTGATCGATTGTCGAGTAAAATTTTCTTTTTTCTTCTGATCATTTTTTTCTAGTTGTTGTGAATAGAGATGAAAAAACATTCGAAAATTTTGGCATGATTTGAACATTTCCTATACTCCTCGAGAATCACAATTAATATTCTACACACAGAATTTCTACGTCACTTTTCAAGACGAAATGCTATTTAAAGATATCGCCCACAAATACATACCATTCTCAAATACACACACACACGCATACAAATGCTCTGTCGCTCTGTATTTTCCTTCTCATACAACAATGTCTAAATCGTCTGGCCTTATTGGGAAATAGTTTTGTGAAATTTTGTGAAAAATTGAATGTTTTCATTTGTAATAGGCCATACATTTATCGGAGGAGAGGGGGCGATTTATGGCAAAGGTACGGTACGGTAAGTGGGTGTGAAAATGTGAATTGCAAATATGTTTTCAAAAAATATCTATACTAATAAAAGAGTAAAGTGATTGACTGACTGACTGACTGACTGACTGATTGACTGACTGATTTAACGATTCATCAACGCCCAGACGAAACGGCTGAAGCTAGAATCTTGAAATTTTGGGTGAGGGTCACTCTTGGCCCAAATGTGACAGATAAGGCTGGGTTTTTGGATATTCGTACTAGAAGGGTACGAAAAGTACTAAAAAGTACTAAATATGATATCATTTGTATTTGGCGAACCAGTAGAGCTAGAATTCTGAAATTTGGATTGAGAGTCACTGATGGAGTGTAGGATAGATGTACCAAAGGGTTTTTGGAAATTCGAACTACAACTATCCGAAATGTACGAAAATGTACTAAATTTGGTACAATTCTGTAGCATGAGAACGGATAGAGCTAAAAACTTGAAATTTGGAATGCGAATTAAGGTTGGGAAGTAGGGTCGATATAAGGAGATGGTTTTGAAACCGTGTACTCATGTGTACGAATAGTACTACATGGTACTATATTTGGTACAAATTTGATTTGGAGGTACTAATGGAGCTAGAATCCTGAAAATTGAAAGTAACATTACCGTCGGAGTATAGGATTGTGATATGTACGTAGTTTTGGAAATTTGTTACTTATGTGTACGAAAAGTACTAAATCGTACTATAATTGGTACAATTTGGATTTGGGTGAACCGATAGAGCGGGAACAATAAAATTTGGAGTTGGGATCATTTTAGGGGGGTAGGATTGGGGTCAGGATTCAGTTTAAGAAAATAATACTTATGGGTACTAAATGGTACTAAATTTGGTACAATTTGAATTTTAGGTGAACCAATAGAGCTAGAATCATGAAATTTGAAGTCATGATCACTGTTGAGGTGTAAGATTGAGATCTGTAGGAAATTTTATAAATGTGTACTAAAGTGTACTAAATTTGGTACAATTTGAATTGTGAGTGAACCGATAGAGTTGGAATCCTGAAATTTAGATTTTGGAGCACTGTGGGGGTGCTGGTTTGGGTTCAGTTGGAAGTTTTTGAAATTCGTACTAAATGGTACTAAATTTGGTACAATTTGAATTTTGGGTAAACCAATAGAGTTAGAATCATGAAATTTGGAGTCGGGATCATTGTTGAGGTGTAAGATTGAGATATGTAGGAAGTTTTAAAATTTTGTACTAATGTGTACTAAATTTGGTACAATTTAAATTGTGGGTCAACCAATGGAATTGGAATCCTCAAACTTGGATTTAGGATCACTGTGGGGGTGTTGGTTTGAGTTAAGTACGAAGTTTTGGATATTCGTACAACTGTGTACTAAATTTGGTACAATTTGAATTATGGGTGAACCGATAGAGTTCGAATCCTGAAATTTAGATTTTGGAGCACTGTGGGAGTGTTGCTTTGGGTTAAGTTGGAAGTATTTGAAATTCGTACTAAGTGGTACTAAATTTTGTACAATTTGAATTTTAGGCGGACCAATGGAGCTAGAATCAGAAATTTGGAGTCAGGATCATTGTTGAGGTGTAAGATTGAGATATGCAGAAATTTGTGCTAATGTGTACTAAATTTTGTACAATTTATGTTGTGGCTGAAGCGATAGAATTGGAATCCAGAAATTTAGATTTACGATCACGGTGGCGGTGTGGGATTGGGTATTTATGAAGTTTTGGAAATTGGTACTACTGTGTACTAAATTTGGTACAATTTGAATTGTGGGTGAACAGATAGAGTTGGAATCCTGAAATTTAGATTTTGGTTTGGGTTAAGTTGGAAGTTTTTGAAATTCGTAATAAATGGTACTAAATTTAGTACAATTTGAATTTTAGGTGAACCAATGGAGGTAGAATCATGCAATTTGGAGTCAGGATCATTGTTAAGCTGTAAGATTGAGAAATGTAGGAAGTTATAGAGATTTGTTTTTGAAATTCGTACTAAATGGTACTAAATTTAGTACAATTTGAATTTTAGGTGAACCAATAGAGGTAGAATCATGAAATTTTGAGTCAGGATCAATAAGGTGTAAGATTGAGAAATGTAGGAAGTTTTAGAGATTTGTACTAATGTATACAAAATTTGGTACAATTTAAGTTGTGGATGAAGCGATAGAGTTGGAATTCTGAAACTTAAATTTAGGATTACTGTGGGGGTGTAGGATTGGGATATGTAGGATGTTTTGGAATTTGGGTTAAGTAGGAAGTTTTGGAAATTCAAACTACTGTGCACTAAATTTCGTACATTTTGAATTGTGGGTGAACCTATGGAGTTGGAATCCTGAATCTTGGATTTAGGTCACTGTGGGAGTGTATGTTTAGGTTAAGTAGGAAGTTTTAAAAAATCGTACTACTATGTTTCATTTTTAAATGTTAGGAACAGTGACCTTTAATATTAATAAAAA